ACGTCATGATCTAATCTCTTCATTTGGCAAAATGATCAAAGTAAGGACCTGGGAAGATTTGCCCAAGGTGAAGGTGCCAGGCAGAGTCATCATACATGCTGTCACTTTTTTGTTTTTGTGACTTGGAGCAAATTCTTTAGTTTGCTAGATAGATTTTTCTCTATCCTTGTCATGTTTTAGAATCACCCAATAGTAAATAAGCTGAAATATCTAATTTTGTTGGGCAAAAGTGGGATTTATCATTAGGGATTTATGGAATGTAGGGCTTGACCAAGTACCCAAGCACTCTAGTCTTATCACATGGTGATAAATTCTACTTTTGTGTTGACAGGCAAATGTCTAACCCTTCTGCTTAGAAATTCTTGGGGTGCAGTGATTTTTAGGAATTTTTTAGATTGGGGATTGTAAGAGAAAATAAATTATTTAGCTACCATTTTAAAACATTACCTAATACTTGGCTATCTGCCAGTCCCATACATAAATTCATGCCGTGTTTTTCCTACTGTAAGGCTTTATTAATTTGTCGAAGGGAGGGGCTATGGAAGAACCAGTAGATCCTAATGGGTCAGTTGATCAGTTTAATGAGGAGGAGAAATAGTCTCTTAACAGCTTCTGCTACAGGAGGAATCCAAGAGGGGAGAAAAATCACCATCTCCTTGGGTCAGAGGACTTTAAAGTGTTCGTGAAACACAGAGACTTAGCCATTGTTTGCCTTTTCAGAAAGCAGCCTGATTAGAGCTTCCATCCTGATGAGTAATTAGATCAGGAACCATGGTTTGGAGAGAGAGAGGCAGACAGGCCCAGGTGCCAGCCTTAGGTTATCAGCTTCCGCAGATATAAGAAATTGGACTGGAAGCGTCATTACATTGCTTGCCCCAGGGCCTGGTGTGCCACTGATACAGGCAGACTCAGGACAAGTCTCATCTAAAGGAAGTGACTTGTCTGAATTTTCTGGACAAACCATGAGCACAAAATAGTGAGCAAGTCCCAGAGTGATTAGATTGGGATTTTGTGGGATTTTTCCCAAATGAAATAAGTTCTTGAGGCAAAACTTTCTTATACTAGTCGATGTAACACAAGTCGAAAACCATACATCTTTTTTGTTTTTCTCCTTTGAATGGTAGTCTAGAGCAAGACAGTTGTTAAAGTGGCTTCTGGATTCATTCACTGAAACTGTAGAGTTTAGACTTTGTGTGGTTGGAGCCCTGGTGTTACAGTGGTTAAAGGCACTTGGCTGCTAACTGAAAGGTCAGTGGTTCGAACCTACCAGCTGCTCTGCAGGAGAAAGATGTGGCACTCTGCTTCCATAAAGATTTATAGCCTTGGAAACCCAATGGGACAATTCTGCTCTGTCCCATAGGGTCGGAATCGTCTTGATGGGAGTAGGTTTGGTGTGTGTGTGTGTGTGTGTGTGTGTGTGTGTGTGTGTGTGTGTGTGTGTGGTTGGCTGGGTCTTATGTGCCAGGAATAGTTATGGCCATGAAGACAGGTCCAAGGGCCTGAGTTCAGGCTGAGAAACCTATAGCGAAGATACCCAGCACACATTTTGGTCTTTCATGATGTGCAAAGATGACTTGTACTGCAGCTTCTGCTTACTCCGCATCTTAATCAGTTCTGTAATGAAGACCCAGCAGCATATCTGCAACTTCCCTTTCATTTTACAATTTTTATAATAAGAGTTCTTGTAGTGTGAAAAGTGTCTGTAGAAACCCAGCCAAAATTCTGAGGAACCTTTAAAGGAATATCGTGATTTTGTGTCTCTGCTTTTGGGTGAGGTTTGGCTCCAGAGGAGAGAAGTCAGTTATCTCTTGTTCTAAATGCCAGGGCAAGACTGGCTTCAAAGTTTCCAAAGAACTTCCTGATGAACCCATGACATTTCAGAAATTTCCTTTATACTTCTCCCTACTAATTTATTCATTTGATACCAAGATTGGTTTTCCATCACTTATAAGAACATGATGAGCTGGGATCTCCTTTGTCATGGTTGTGTTTTGAGGATTTTAGTGTGGGGAGGCATCTTCGTTTTGTTTTGTTTCTAAGCCTCATCTCAAGGAGAATATTGTCGGGACACTTCTCAGAATTAGGGTTATCTAGTGAACTGCAGGTTCCCCCTTTAAAGACAATGAGTCTGAAGCTATTGAGATACCACCCTACTTCCTCCCTTTCTTTTCTTGTCCCTTCTCTTCCTTTATCTCCCTGTTCAAATCACAAGCTTCCTTTTCTAAGGACAGGAGAGCTGGCAGACTGCCTCAACTAGCCTTATATCATTGCAAAGGAATGCATGAATTCTCCAGAAGGTATGTACTATCTCTTCTGTATTAGACACTCACTACCTGCCTTCATAACAGGTCACTCAGCCAGAATTGCCTCTTGTATTTACATATTTGACATTTTTTAGTCACTTGGATTACATCCCTGGATGCTCATCTCATCTCAGTTACGATCCTAAAGGTATCTGTGAAGAAATACTACTCCAGATATGCCCTATAATACTTGAAAACTTTATACAGGAGAACAAACTTAAAATATGAGATAACCTTAAGACTGGTATCCTTAGCCAGAAGGTGTCTGGGTTATTAATCTGCAGATTGCCTGCTTTAGACATTCTGCTTATGTACGAGGTCCTACAGATGGACCAGGCCGACCACATACAACAGAGGCCCCATGCCTTGGCGGGACTCAAAGCCTCATGGTATTTCTCTGCTACTATTTAAATTCAGTCTCACATTGGGAGTTACATATGTGATTGTAAATTAATCCTTTCTCTTCTGAAAATTTGGTTTTGAAAAACAGCTGTGTCTCCCTTCTGAATTCCTTAATTATTTATCCTCCCTGATATGTTAAACCTTTCATTAGTGTGGTGAATTGCCAAGAGTACACAGAACTGCTTAGATCACGTAGCAAACAGTATAAACATTTGATAGGACATTTGAAGACACCACATGGTGAGCAAGGATCTATAGTAGGACCAAATGCTGTGGGATCGATGGAGGTAGTTTGCTGTCAGAGGTTCTTTGTTGGTTTATTTTGCTGGCTTATTTTTAAAAAAACGGTAACATGGAACTAGTACGTATGTTAGTTGTACTTATTCAGAAGAAAGCTAATTCTGCCTAGCTGAGCTCTTGTTAAATTTAGAGTGCATGTGCCCATATCTGACTCCCAAATTAAATCAAGAAAATTACCTTTTTTTTGATTGGGCACTTGATATTTACATTTTTAGGTTTGAATCCACAACTACTGTTTCTAAAGAGGACATTCACCTCAATCTCAATTCAGTACTGTTTGGAAAGATGCTTTAAATGATTTTTATATTACTAAGAACTGCCACATTGGCTATGACAAGAGTAAATGATTAGCAGTGTTATAGAACATTCCTTGTTGCTGAAAGTAGCAACCCAACATTCACAAATGGATTAGTGATTTTTAAAAAATTTTTCATCTTCAGGATAAAAATGCTCGTGTATCCATCTTCCCACACCATGGTCCTGGGGCTTGGTCAATGAGAAATTTTAACCTTCGGACATACCCAACCACTCTTTGATCTTATCATATGAATAGTTTTATAGAATAGTCTTTAGATCCTGAATTATTCTGTTTTTCTAGCTGAAGTATTTCAAAGTTTACGCATTCTATTACCTGTCCTTGGATAATTGGGTTTTCCATTCGTAAGAAAGGGAAATAGGAACATAGGCACACCCATGTTCCCTGCAGCATTATTCACAATAGCAAAAAGATGGAAACAACCTAAGTGCCCATCAACAGGTGAATAGATAAACAAATTGTGGTACATACATACAATGAAATACTACCCAACTATAAAGAATAATGAAGAGTGTACGAAACATAACATGAGTGAATCTGGAAAACATTATGCTGAGTGAAGTAAGTCAATCACAAAAGGACAAATATTGTATGGTCTCACTTTTATAAAAGCTCAAGAATAGGTATACATGCAGAAAGGAACATTCTTTGATAGTTACCAGGGATGGGAGAGGGAGAGAGGAAGAATCACTTTCTAGATAGTAGATACTTGTTATTTTCGGTAATGGAAAAGGCAATACCCAGCATGAGTGAAGTCTGCACAACTTGTCCAAAGTAAATGAAGACACTAAGAAGTATGCAAGAATAAGGGACAATTTTGGTAAATGCTGTAACATACAGTTTTGCAACAACAATAACAACAACCAAAAGAAAAGATGTGTGTGGCTACATAGGTAGGTATGTATGCATGCATATATGTGTATGGGGGGGCACGTGTGAGTATGTGAGTGTGCATGTATAGGTGCTATCTGTAGGCATATGTATATACATGTTTATGTGGACTGCATGTAATATAAACCACACGGGGCACAGTTATGGATATTTCCTAGATGAAACCAAACACCTCGTGGATCTTAAAAGTTTGCAAGAGGCCATCTAAGATACAACGATTGATCTCTCTCTCTCCTTGTCTGGAACAAAGAAAATAAAGGAAACCAAAGACTCAAAGAAGAAACTAGTCCACAGAACTAATAATGCACATGAACCACATCTTCATCTAGCCTGAGACCAGAAGAACTAGATAGTGCCCAGCAACCACTACTGACCATTTTGACCAGGGACACAATAGAACGTCTCAGTTTAGAAAAGGAGAAAAATGTAGATCAAAACTCAGAAATTCATAAAAAAGGCCAGACTTACTTGGCTTTTTGAGATTTGAGGAACCCTGAAGACTATCACCCTAAGATACTCTTTGAACTTGGAACTGAAGTCACTCCTGGTGGTCACCTTTCACCCAAATACTGGATTGCCTTATAAAATAAACAGTATCAGCCATGAGTACTGTGCTCCCTTGAATAACCAACTGTATGAGCCCAAATGGTCAACATTTACCTAAAACAAAGATGAGGAGCTAAGGAGGGGCAGGGAAGCTAGATTAATGGAAACAGAATGGAAATAATAAGAATGTTGACACATTGTGAAAAACGTAACCAATGTTAAGGGACAATTTGTATAAAAACTATTAAATGGGAACCTAATTTGCTATGTAAAGTTCCATCCAAAACACAATAAAATATTAAAAAAAAAATAAAGAAATAAGAAATGCACAAACAGCAGGCGCTAACCAGAGTCTTTTATTAGACTTATGATTCAGGAGAACTGTGGAGTTCAGTGTCTTAAAAATGAAACTAGGTTTCTGGAGTGGACAGAGGAAAAGCACCTTATGGTGTTTGTGGTTCTATTTCTCCAAGGCTTTGAAGGTTATAATTAGTTGCTACTGAACCACATGGCTGTGGTCCTTCACAGCTTTATTTCTGGTCTGCAGTTCTTCAGTCAGAGGAAAAGTTAGATTCCAGGCAAGGCCTGTACATTTTAATTTGGACACTTCTGGATATAACTGGGACTTTGACTTGAGGACCATATTTACACTCCTGGGCCACGCAAGCTTAATGAGCAGTGTTCGCCAGGCTGACCTGGGCAAGGGTTGATGGTGGCAGAGTTTTGAGAATGCTGGGAAACATCAAGGACGCCTCCTCTCTCCAATGACATCTGAGCAGTGAGTTGGAAGGCCATATGATGAAGCTCTGGTTTGTCTCTTTTCACGTTGACAGGAGAGAAACCAAGGCATAATGGATCCTGGAATTCTGAGCACAGAGAGTGTATAAGCAAATGATATAAATTAAAATTGGTATTCTCAAGATTGAGAAAGAGCAGCCTGTGTCCATAATTTCCTTTTCCCAATTCCCAGGTGCATATTCCAAATCTTCAGCAAGATGTCTGGATAGTCTTTAAATATGTCTTCAAGAGTCTGTCAAATGCTGACAATGGGATTTCCCACGAAAGCCCCACATTTTGAAATCCCAAAACTGTAATTACAAACCGAACAAACCAGGAACTGATAGGTCAGTACTGAAGAGTAATAAATAATTAGAATGATCTAGGGGTTTCATGTTAGGAGGACCAGTCACATTAGGTGGTAGATTCTTCATTTCAGGATTAATCCACATTCATTTAGTAGGGCATCATCATGAGTAATTAGTTTAGAGTCTTGTTATCTGAAGCCTGTTTGACCTTGAGGGGCCTGGAAATAATGCCTGTTGGGGGCAAGGAGATGAGGGGCTTGTTTGATTTGTAGATTCATCTCATGACCTTTTGAAATAGCATTTCTTTTTAGCTAGTTCAGAAGCTTCCTCTTCTGCTTTTGATTTTGCTGATTTGGTAAGAAAAAAAAAAAACGCTAATCTCATTATCACAGTATTTTTAAATAAAGTTAAGTAGACAAGAGATGGAGGCTTTTAACTTTAAATTATCATTTTGTAGCAGATCATTGTTTTAGCCTCTTTAGGGTTGCTCTTCTTCTGGGTCGATGAAGGAGTCGAATATATAGAGCTGATTTCTCATCTTTTTCTCCTCGTTGCTGGTTTCTCAGAGGATTGCCATCTGCTGCACAAACATACTCTACGGTTGATGGATGGGTCATCCTCAAGTCCAGCTCTCTTTGTCTCTGTCCTTCCCTACCCCCTTTTTTCCCTCCCACTCTCGCTTCTTGTATGTGTATACATCCACGATCTCATAAATACATCAAGTTTTTGTTTCTTTTGATTGTTTAGGCCATGCTGGCCAATTTCTGGCTGCTTCTGTTAGCATCTTCAGGAGAAATGTGTACACAAAGGCAAAATGGCTGTCAAAGTAGGCTTACATCCTCATGTCAGTACTTGGTGAAAACATCAAATTGAAGACCATTTAGCTGTACCTGACGCTGGTTCTCATAGCAGCCTGGAGATTAACCTCTTGTAAGGCTCTGAGCTATTTTTGAGGTAGAGACTGCAACAACATTAAAGCTAGAACCCATTAGGAAATGACTTTCATCATGTCTTCTTTTTCCAAATCAGTGGCTTTTTTTTTTTTTTTTTTCTGATCTCAGAACCCTTTAATCTCCTTTGTAGCAGAACAAGGAGACTGTTGATTTGTGTTTCATGAATTGAAGTTAGTTAGCCTCCTCGATAATGGCTTTGGAAGATACAAAGATATTAGAGAACTGCACAGAGATGGATTTCATTTCTGGGTGTATGATTTAACGCTGAAGGTGCTCTGCTTTCCTTGCACAGAACCGTAATTTTTGTTGATGTTGTGCAAACTAGGCTCAAACTTTCCAAAAGACACACAGCAGAAAGCCTTTTGTTGCATTATTTCTAAAGGCTTGAAGTTTTGAAGGGAAGAGATTTTGTTTTCCTCTCGGCTACACAATGGAGCTTTCAGAGAACCTCTCTTAAAAGGAATAGCTACAGCCTTTGTGTTGAAGGGTGTGTCTGTTGGCAGGGTCTGCTGATGCAGACAGACTGGCTGGTGATTAACAAAGGTCATTAGACTTTGGAATCTGGCAAGCAAAGTCGGATGGTATGTCTTCTGTGTGGAAGGACGACTCCCAAGAAGCCAAGGCATTCTGGAGGTCCCCCTACCCCACCCCTAAATCCTGCTGTAGAACAGGGTCTGGTCCAGGGCCGTCCCGCTCTAACCAGTGCTTTGCTGAACTAACGAACAAGCATATCAATCATGGAATAAAAGAACCTTCGGAGATCTTGGTGAATGACATTTGAGGAGGAGAAAGGTGCTGCTTTTCGGAAAGCAATGAAAACAGTTCATTCTTTGTTGAGAAGAGAAGAGCATAGGAGGAGCCCAGCCTGCTCTTCTCACATTCATTTCTGATTGTCAGCCTAGCAGAATCCAAGAGAGGCCATGTTGTGCACGGAGGAGAAGCTCTGAGCTAAAATGGCTGCTCCTAAAGCTCAGAGGACTAGGGCAGCTTAGTGAGTCTTAGAGCTTCAGTGACGCAGGAGCTCGTATCTCTTGAAAGTGTGATAAACACATTCAGCAAAGCTGTGGCTTGTTTGGCTGAGATGAAAGGACTAAGCTGGGGGGATGGGGAGTACACACTGGATGATCTGCTTTTTTCTCTAAAGTGTTCTAAATGCAGGAGTCGTCTGCACCATGGAAAAATTTGTTTTCAGGTCTAATGGACTGTGCGAAAGGAGAAGTGGGGTGGGGCCTCCGTGACTGCTGTAATTTGATCCAGAGCTGATAGCAACCTCTTCCACATGATTTGGGTTGGTGCTTAGACATAAAACCTTGTGTATCTGGAATATTGAGACTTAGCTGAAAAGACTCTGGTGCACAGTTGAATGTTTATTGAAAAAGGATAAATTGCTGTATGAAAGAAGAGTAGGTAAATATCCATCTCTCATTCAGCAAGCTCAGTCTGTCCAGAGCTGGACTTGCCAGATGTTACTTCAGCAGGCTATCAGGAGGAGCATTCTTTCATAGAAAATCCTCATGCAAGAGCCACTTTCACTGCATTGACACACTTACTGAACTTTGCTCCTTCTGTAGAAATAATTTATCTTTTATAATAGGAGCATAGCCAGTTGCATCATAAAATAGATTTGGCTACAGCTTTAGTTCTTGGACATCTGGTTCTAGATTACAATGATTCAGTAGAGTGAATTTGTGGTGAGCTTAATGAAGTAACTCATTAAGATAATATCTGTATATATGTAGTAAGATAGAAAGAACTACACCTTTCCAGTACATTCTTAACTTCTTAATTGTGGCACTCTCCACTGAATTAGTGTGCAGCTTTCTGTGTATTTCAGTTGCACAGTAAATAGCAGAATGAAGATAGTTGGGCAAGTTTTGTTTTGTTCCACACCAGGCTCGCTACTCTTTGTGTCCAAGTGTATACTAGACATTTGTAAAAGAGAGAAGAGGAAAACGATGAAGTCATGACTTAGAAGCCCCTCTTCAAAACAGCAAGTTTTTGTTGCCTTAATGTAAACTGAAGCACCAGAGTGCAACTTTTAATTAGAAGCTGGATTGTTACCTAAAATGGGTTGTTTGAGAATCTCATGAGAAATAATTTATGACCTAATTAGATGGGAGAAGCATCAGGTTATAACTGGTGGGTAGTAAAAGGGTAAATAACCATTTAGCTCATGAGAAAAAAATGACTAAATGGTTTGGGGAAGGAAGGAAGGTAGTGTACCCCAATATCAGTTAGATATTAAGATAACACAAAAATGTAATGATATTCAACCCGCTAATGAAGATCGAATAGAGTGCCTTTTTTTCTGTATGGACATCCACTTTACTTCTAAGTCCAAGGCAAAACCAAAGGCAGTATTAACTTACTAAGAAATTTGAATTCTCTTGAGAAATTCAGAAACTACTAAAACTTTTGAAGGATTAAGAATTTTCTTGACAAATGGCATTTGAAGATATCTTTTTCAAGCTAGAAAAAATTTCTTTTTTTTCCTTCTTTGAAGTTATGAAGTCAAGGACATCATTTCTGTTAGGTCTGATTGTCTCCAGTATTCCAGTTGCCATTCCTATAGGATTTTTTTTTCCCGTTAATGGACTTGTGGCCCACCAGCTTGTGGTATATGATTGGTCCACGTTCTTTAAGATAGTGTGTTCTGACTCCTACCACAGGTTCCTAATGTGAGAGGGTAAACCCAGATCATGGAGGTGCTTCAGTGTGATGGCTGTGACTTCAGAGCTCCATCTTATGAAGATCTCAAGGCACACATTCAGGATGTCCACACAGCATTTCTGCAGCCGACTGATGTTGCTGAGGACAGTGCTAACGAGCCACGATCCGGGTCCATGAATGCCAGTAATCAGACAGAGGTGGAGTTTTCTTCTATAAAGGATGAATTTGTGATTGCAGAGGATTTATCAGGTAAATCTATATGAAACTCAGCATATCTGATGTATTTTAATTGCTCTCGTTTGTTTTTAGCCTGTAACCATGGTTCTTGATATACCTGGCTTCTACAGAGTTTCTTGCTCTTTGTGAGCCATTTTTGTGGTTTGGGCATCGTGTTTCTCTTCTTGAGTATCTTAGGTTATTGGCCTCTCAGCTTCCTTGTGTCTCTGAGTTTCCTTTTAGTTTTGAGAACAAGGTAGTATCTTGAGCAGTTCTAGAATGAATATTGAAGTTTATGAGACTTGTATTTTTATAGCTACGTGGCACACCTGTGGAGATGAGAAGAGTATTGTATCTAAAGCTGTACAGCTGTACAACGCATCTTCATCCATGAGAAGGTGCAATACGTGTTCTTTAATGCTTTGTGAATACTCTTCAGGACTGCATCTTGAGACTTTGGGCCTTTTGAATGGGATGTTTACTAATGAAGAAAAATTGAAATGGAACTGATTTGCATAATAGAATTTTTTAATTCCTGCTTTTCTTTTCTCTTCCCACTTTCCTTTTGCTTTTTCTTTAGGTCAAAATGCAACTGCATTGGGGACTGGAAGTTACTATGGCCACAGTTCAGGATATTACGGTCAGCATATTGCCCCTAATCCCAAACCAACAAACAAGTTTTTTCAATGCAAGTTCTGCGTACGCTACTTCAGGTCAAAAAACCTCCTCATAGAACATACTAGGAAGGTCCATGGAGCTCAAGCTGAAGGGAGTTCAGCGGGACCCCCTGTTCCAGGATCCTTAAATTATAATATCATGATGCACGAGGGATTTGGAAAGGTCTTCTCTTGCCAGTTTTGCACGTACAAGTCACCAAGGAGGGCAAGGATAATTAAGCATCAGAAGATGTATCACAAAAACAATTTGAAGGAATCGACTGCTCCCCCTCCTGCCCCTGCTCCAATGCCAGACCCTGTGGTTCCACCAATGTCCCTGCAGGACCCCTGCAAAGAACTGCCCGCAGAGGTTGTGGAGCGCAGCATCTTAGAATCCATGGTCAAGCCTTTGACCAAGTCTCGAGGCAACTTTTGTTGTGAGTGGTGCAGCTACCAGACACCCCGCCGAGAACGCTGGTGTGATCACATGATGAAGAAACACCGCAGTATGGTCAAGATCCTTTCTAATCTCAGACAGCAACAAGAAGGGACTAATCTACCTGAAGTGCAGAACAAAAGTGCCCCCAGCCCCCCTTCCAACTCCACCTATCTGTCCATGAATGCTGCAAGCCGGGAGATACCCAACACTAATGTCTCCAACTTCAGGGGCTCCATCGGAAACTCCATCATGAGACCCAATTCTTCTTCATCTTCCAAGTTTTCTCCCATGTCTTATCCTCAGATGAAGCCGAAGTCACCTCACAATTCTGGCTTAGTTAACTTGGCAGAAAGATCGCGTTACGGAATGTCTGACATGACAAATTCTTCTACTGACCTGGAAACTAACAGCATGCTAAATGACTCTAGTTCTGATGAAGAGTTAAATGAAATAGACAGTGAGAATGGTTTAAATTCTATGGATCACCAGACATCAGGTATGTCTGCAGAGCAGCTGATGGGCTCAGATGGCAACAAATTATTGGAAACCAAGGGAATACCGTTTAGAAGATTCATGAATAGGTTCCAGTGCCCCTTTTGTCCTTTCCTCACCATGCATCGACGTAGCATCTCTCGTCACATTGAGAACATCCACTTATCTGGAAAGACAGCTGTCTACAAATGTGACGAATGTCCGTTTACTTGTAAGAGCTCATTAAAACTTGGGGCTCACAAACAGTGTCACACGGGTACAACATCAGATTGGGATGCTGTGAATTCCCAGAGTGAAAGCATTTCTTCCTCATTGAATGAAGGTGTGATGTCTTATGAGAGCTCAAGCATCAATGGTAGAAAGTCAGGAGTCATTTTGGATCCCTTGCAACAGCAACAGCCACCACAGCCACCGCCGCCACCACCGCAACCACAACCACAGCCTTCGCAGCAGCCACAGCCATCACAGCTACAGCCACCACATCAACTGCCACCCCAGCCGCAACCCCAGCCGCCACCAACACAGCAGCCACAGCCATCCACGCAAGCCCCACCCCTGCACCCTTACAAATGCACCATGTGTAATTACTCCACCATGACTCTGAAAGGGCTAAGAGTCCATCAGCAGCACAAGCACTCGTTCTGTGACAACTTGCCAAAATTCGAGGCACAGCCCTCAAGCCTATCATTGGAAAGTGAGACAGACAGCCACCCCTCTTCCAGCAACACTGTGAAGAAAAGTCAGACCTCAATTCTTGGGTTGTCCTCCAAGAACAATTTTCTAGCTAAGGCCCCTAGGAAGCTTGCTAACGACTTTCCTCTTGATTTATCACCAGTGAAGAAGAGGACTAGAATTGACGAGATAGCAAGCAACCTGCAGAGCAAAATTAACCAAACCAAACAGCAGGAAGATGCAGTGATCAATGTCGAGGATGACGAGGAGGAAGAGGAAGACAACGAAGTGGAGATAGAGGTTGAATTGGACCGGGAAGAAGAGCCAACAGAACCAGTCATGGAAGTTCCCAGTTCCTTTTCGGCCCAACAGATTTGGGCGAGAGATGCCAACGAGCCCCAAAGGGAACCCAACTTCAGAAATGTCAGCCATGATTACAACACCACCAATGGGGCTGAGATTGAGCTCACCCTTTCTGAAGATGAAGAGGATTATTATGGCTCCTCAACAAACATGAAAGATCACCAAGTTTCCAATACTGCTCTGCTGAACAGCCAACCTCCTATCTATGGAACTGAGCACAATAATGAAAATACAGACTATAGTGACTCTGGAAGGCTTTACTATTGCAAACACTGTGACTTTAACAACAAGTCTGCTCGGAGTGTCAGCACCCACTACCAGCGAATGCACCCATACATTAAGTTCAGCTTTAGGTACATCTTGGACCCTAACGATCACAGTGCAGTGTACAGGTGCCTGGAATGTTACATCGATTACACCAACTTTGAAGATCTCCAGCAGCATTACGGCGAACACCACCCAGAAGCCATGAATGTACTCAACTTTGATCATTCGGATCTGATCTACCGGTGTCGGTTTTGTTCGTACACGAGCCCGAATGTGAGAAGCCTGATGCCACATTACCAAAGAATGCATCCCACAGTTAAGATTAACAATGCGATGATATTTTCAAGCTATGTCGTGGAGCAGCAGGAAGGGCTGAATACTGAATCCCAGACTCTGAGGGAGATTCTGAACTCAGCTCCCAAGAGCATGGCGACTTCCACCCCTGTGGCACGTGGTGGCGGCATGCCGGCTACATTTAGTAAAAACACTCCTTCAAAGACGTTTACTCCAGAATGTGAAAATCAGAAAGACCCTTCGGTTAACACCGTTGTCGTTTACGATTGTGACGTTTGCTCATTTGCAAGCCCCAACATGCACTCTGTCTTGGTTCATTATCAGAAGAAACACCCTGAAGAAAAGGCCTCCTACTTTAGGATCCAGAAAACCATGCGAATGGTGTCTGTGGACAGGGGATCTGCCCTTTCTCAATTGTCATTTGAGGTGGGTGCTCCAATGTCTCCCAAAATGTCCAACATGGGTTCCCCACCCCCCCCACAACCCCCACCACCAGATCTCAGTACTGAGCTTTACTACTGCAAACACTGTTCCTACAGCAATCGGTCAGTAGTGGGAGTGCTTGTCCACTACCAGAAAAGACACCCAGAAATAAAGGTTACTGCCAAATATATCAGACAGGCTCCTCCCACAGCCGCAATGATGAGAGGGGCCGAGGGGCCCCAAGGCTCCCCTCGGCCACCCGCCCCCATACAACAGCTGAACCGCAGTAGCTCTGAGAGAGATGCCCCCCCTGTGGAGACCGAGATGTTCTTCTGCCAGCACTGTGATTACGGGAACCGGACGGTCAAAGGTGTACTCATTCATTATCAGAAGAAGCACCGAGACTTCAAGGCCAATGCAGACGTGATCCGGCAGCACACAGCCACCATCCGAAGCCTCTGCGATCGGAACCAGAAGAAGTCAGCCAGCTGCGTGCTTGTCTCCCCATCTAATGTGGAGCGGGACAAAGCTAAACTCCGAGCGCTCAAATGTAGGCAGTGCTCGTATACCTCCCCCTATTTCTATGCACTGAGGAAGCATATCAAGAAAGACCACCCTTCCCTGAAGGCCACAGTCACGTCCATCATGCGGTGGGCTTTTCTAGATGGTTTGATAGAAGCTGGCTACCACTGTGAGTGGTGCATCTATTCTCACATGGAGCCCAGTGGTTTGCTCCTGCATTACCAGAGGAGGCATCCAGAGCATTACGTTGACTATACATACATGGCTACCAAACTCTGGGCTGGGCCAGACCCATCCCCTCCCTCTCTCACGATGCCAGCTGAAGCCAAAACATACCGATGCAGGGACTGTGTTTTTGAAGCCTCCTCCATCTGGGACATCACAAATCACTACCAAGCGTTCCACCCCTGGGCTATGAATGGTGATGAGTCAGTGCTACTGGATATCATCAAGGAGAAGGATGCTATTGAAAAGCCCATCCCCCCGTCCGGAGAGTTGGGGGGCCCTTTGAGTTGTGAAAATAACATGCCCACCCCAATCCCCGAGCAGGAGGCTGAGTGCCCAGAGGATTCAAGACTCTCCCCAGAGAAAAGCATCCAGCTCTCTTCTGCCAATCCTGCCATCTCCTCCACGCCATACCAGTGCACGGTATGCCAGTCTGAGTACAACAACTTGCATGGTCTGCTCACCCATTATGGGAAGAAGCACCCTGGCATGAAAGTGAAGGCTGCTGACTTTGCCCAGGACATCGATATCAACCCAGGCGCTGTCTACAAATGCAGGCACTGCCCTTATATCAACACCCGCATTCATGGCGTTTTGACCCACTACCAGAAGCGACACCCATCCATCAAGGTGACCGCTGAGGACTTTGTGCATGACGTGGAGCAGTCTGCGGACGTATCCCAGAATGACGTGGAGGAGACGAGCAGGATTTTCAAGCAAGGGTATGGTGCCTACCGGTGCAAACTGTGTCCATACACCCATGGCACTTTAGAGAAACTCAAAATCCACTATGAGAAGTATCACAATCAGCCCGAATTTGATGTCTTTTCTCAGTCACCCCCAAGGCTGCCAGTGTCCCTCGAGCCTGAGATAACCACTGAAGTGAGCCCCTCCCAAGTCTCAGTGACCGAGGAGGAGGTGGGAGAGGAGCCTGTGTCCACGTCTCACTTCTCTACCTCGCACCTGGTCTCCCACACTGTGTTCCGGTGCCAGCTCTGCAAGTATTTCTGCTCCACGAGGAAGGGGATTGCCAGGCACTACCGCATTAAGCACAACAATGTCCGAGCCCAACCAGAGGGAAAGAACAACCTCTTCAAGTGCGCCCTGTGTGCCTACACCAACCCCATCCGCAAAGGGCTGGCAGCCCACTACCAGAAGCGCCACGACATTGATGCCTATTATACCCACTGCCTGGCAGCCTCCAGGACCATCAGCGACAAGCCCAACAAGGTGATCATCCCATCCCCGCCCAAGGACGACTCCCCACAGCTGAGCGAGGAACTCCGGCGGGCAGTGGAGAAGAAAAAGTGCTCCCTGTGCTCCTTCCAGTCCTTCAGCAAGAAGGGCATCGTGTCCCATTACATGAAGCGTCACCCAGGGGTGTTCCCAAAGAAGCAGCATGCCAGCAAGTTGGGGGGCTACTTCACTGCCGTGTACGCTGATGAGCATGAGAGGCCGCTGCTGATGGAGGAAGAGGAGAGAGGCAGCTTTGAGAAAGCCGAGGTGGAAGGCGAAGTTCAGGAAATCGAGTGGCTGCCGTTTCGCTGCATCAAATGCTTCAAGCTCTCCTTCAGCACGGCAGAACTGCTGTGCATGCATTACACCGACCACCACAGCCGGGACCTCAAGAGGGACTTCGTCATTCTGAGCAGCGGCCCCCGCTTCCAGAACTCCACCTACCAGTGCAAGCACTGTGATAGCAAACTGCAAAGCACAGCGGAGCTGACCTCACACTTGAACATTCACAATGAGGAATTCCAGAAGCGTGCCAAACGTCAGGAGAGGAGGAAACAGCTTTTGAGCAAGCAGAAATATGCAGATGGTGCTTTTGCAGATTTCAAACAAGAGAGGGTAAGGATATGTTTTGATTTCCCTTCCCCCAGGAGGCCTCTCATCACTGGTGCCCACATGCACTTCTTCGTTGCCAGCCAAACTGCTGCAGGCTTCCTAGTGACTTAGCTTGCCAGAGAGCTCAATAAGTCAATTAAGCATTTCGAGCTTGATTATCCCCCATTCTATGCTCACCCCTCTCCACGGTCCCAGTCCACTTCCTCCCTCCGTTTGACCCCTCCCAAGGCTCCCCAGGGGAGGTTTGGGTGGTTTCTATGTATTTCTTTCTGCCAAGTAGCCTTATCTGAAGCCTAGTTACAGGACAACGCTTGCTTTCTTCCATGAGGCAGTTGTGGGCTATCTCTTGGTATCAGTAGCGCTGCTCAGCCATGTCTTGGTCTTCAGTGTTTGCTACATGAACCTAACATCTCCAGGAGTAGATTTTTATCCAAGAAGGTCATTAATGTCATAGCTATGCAACGTTTCACCTGCGTAGTTGAAACTGGTTTGAAAACCAGTTGGCAATGAAGATGAGGCTTCTACACAGAAATCTTCTCTACTCACAAGGTGTAACATATTTCAGTTCCAGAGACTTTGCATAGTAGGCAGTGTGCCGTGACGCTGATGAATTTGTTTTATAAAAACACTCACATATATATCCCTTGGTTTAACCCACTAATCTGCTTTTTAAGATAAAATATGCTAGTAAGTGACAAGAATAAATGCCGGCTTTGAGGGAGGGCTCAGAGTACTGATGACTACCACTGTATTTTACCAGCCTTTTGGTCACTTAGAAGAGGTGCCAAAGATCAAGGAGAGGAAAGTGGTGGGCTACAAGTGTAAATTCTGTGTGGAAGTGCACCCAACGCTCCGAGCCATCTGCAACCACCTCCGAAAGCACGTCCAGTACGGCAGCGTCCCGGCCGTGTCTGCGGCCGTGAAGGTGAGAACTCTGAAGGTCTGGATGAGCATTCTTGTGTGGCAGCGATTCCAGTTACTTATTAACCGCACTGCGTCAAGTCGCTCAGGAAAGGGAGTCTCAGAATGCGGGCATTCCTGAGCTGTGCTTGGCTTGGTTTGGCTTGTTTTGATTTCTTTGCAGGTTGGACCTTCCTCAGCTTCCCCTTCAGGGGAAGGTTGCATTTCGATCTGGTTTCCACCCACATGGATAGTTTGGAGACGGAAGGTCTGGGCCTTTCTCTCGGTGCAGAAGGCTGTGGGCTGTCCTTGTAGTCTGCATTTAATGCCTTTAGGTGTTTGCTGGAACTCAGGTTGCCTGAACTCTTGAGAGCCATCACGCGGGTTCTGTTGCTGTCATCTGCTCCTCCCACTGCCTGCCTTCTTCCTGTCTTCATCTGGCTAAGGGTGCATAGTGCCCACTCAGGAGAAGCTATCTTTTACTTCTTGTCCTGGACAAGCCCAGGAACTTCAATTCCATTGCACTTTATGTCCTCTGGGGAGTGCGAGAGACATTAAATTGAAAACTAAAAGTGTTTAAGTCAGAGTTGACCCTGAGAATCCGTTGACCTGGTTTGTCTCCTCCAACCCCTCTCGCTGTATGTTGCTAACAAATGCCGCCCCTCATTCCCCTTTTATTAGTCTGCCTGTTTTGAACACCATAATCCTCATAGCAGTCAGTGTTTCAATTTTTAACTGAGCCACTGTTCCTGGCTTCCAGGGTGTTGCTAAGCACTTACCATTTTTGAGCACAGACATTAGTTCAGGGCTTTGCGCTTTCCCTCTGGATACAAGAATGTATTTTTGTCATCTGCCCTTCTTGCTCTTGCTTCCTGTTTGCTGGTTTAGTGTTGAGGGAAAGTTTCTACTTTTCATCGTTAAAGACTGAAGCCTTCTGCCTGTCCACAGAGCAGTAGAACTTGGGACAGCAGCGGTCAGCTTCTTCCACACTGCTGTGGTGTGTCCCAGGTTTGTGTGCTGGGATCACACTAGGGAGGGACAGAGCGACTCTGCCCGTGAAGTGGTAATCCAAGGGGCCAACTAGAAGACAGTGTGATGCAAAATCAGGCTGCTCCTGAATTTTTTTAATTGATTATACAGCAACCTTTGGCCAAGGGGTGAAGCCACTGCCTATGGGGTGGCCTTGAGAGTAGGGGATGGAGGGACATGAATCTTTGGCTTTACTTCATTGTCAAGTGATGGCCCAGTGCTAAATACTGAAACTAGTCCTGCTTTTGCTCTTCCTTTCTTTCTTTTTCTTCTCTGAGCCATAACTCTAACCCAACTTTATGTCAGTTTAGGTGGGATCACAATTTGAATTTTCTTTTTAGGATGGGGATAAGCGAGTGACCTGTCTTCACTCTCATTTTCCAGGCAATAGCGAACTTTGTCCAGATATGTCACCCCAAAAGCCCCATCACACATGAAGACTGGCCATCAGATTTGCTCTTCCTCCAGGTGGAGCCAGAGAGGCAGGGAGGAAGCTTGGACGGGAAATGCTGATGAGTTTGGGAGAATGAAGGGAGAAGTTGCGAGCTGGGGCAATAACAGTGGATATTTATTTTGTTGGTGGGGCATGTGTGTGTGTGTGGTTCTCTTAGCAGGAGGCTGAAGACCCTTCCCATTTGTTCCTGCACGGATTGGAAGCAGCTAAAGATGCCAGTGGCGCCCTGGTGGACCGGGTGGATGGTGAACACTGCTTGCTTGATGGAATGTTGGAGGATGAAACCCGGCCGGGGGGATACCATTGTAGTCAATGTGACAGAGTCCTGATGTCCATGCAGGGGCTGCGTTCTCATGAGAGGAGCCATCTAGCCTTGGCCATGTTTACCCGCGAGGACAAGTACAGCTGCCAGTATTGCTCCTTTGTTTCTGCTTTCAGGCACAAGTAAGTGCTATTGGGTGGTCGCAGTTGGTAACTGGGAGGAAGTGTCCTATGGAAGGGAGAAGATGAGAGCTGGAGCGATGGCAGTGGATATTTATTTTGTTGGTGGGAGGGGTGTGTGTGTGTATGTGTATGTGGTTCTCTTAGCAGGAGGCTGAGGCAGATGTCTTAGCAGGAAGCAAGTGTGATGTAGAAAGCAGCTAAGCTAGAGCTGGAGAAGCTTGGAGGAGTCAAAAGTCCCCACTCATGGTTCACACCTGCTGTTTAGTTAGCTATGTTATCTTGAGCCTCAGTCACCTCATCTGTAAAATGGGGCTATAATCAGTAGATTATTTGAGTGACATTCCAAAAAAATAAAAATAAAAAAAAATAAACAGTTGCCATTGAGTCAGTTTCAACACAGGACAATCCCACGTCATCAGACTTGGCAAGTACAGGCATTTTGTAAATGAGAATTGGAGGTGTCGCTGTGATTTATACAAGGGAGGAGCAGGATGTAGATGAGTTTACTGATGTGTCTGTCAGGTATCCATCCCAAATCATCATTCGAGAAAGTAAGTTTCCATTTGGGAAACTGAATTACTAACCAGGGAAGATTAGGACTATTAGCCCATGTAACCAAAAAATCATTGCTTGTTACTTTGAAAAAGACCATGAAGGATAAGGACGTTTATGGATGCCAGAGAGTTGCTTCAAGTTCGTGGAGGGGAGGGGAGAGAGCTTCTTGTTGCCCCTCACAGCTTTGGAATTGTAAGTTTGGGATAGGTATGTTTAAGGCTTTGGGGGAGTGAGGAGAAGGGTAGTTCTGAGAAGAAACAACCTTTTGTTGCCTTTTTCTTCCGGCTGTATAAAAGAGATAAATATTCAATAATGCATTCTGACATTCTTGGATGAAAGGTGATTGATTGTAAGACTGACATGTTTATTTTTATGATAATTGGAAATAAACGATGGGCTATTTGTTTCTCAAAAGGATAAAGTGTGAATTAGAGGCTGTTGAAAGGCAGGAGGAGGCAATGTTTCTACAGAGGTTAGGATGGGTTATAAACTCTTTATTATTATACAGAGCATAATAACTAATCTTTGTCGTCAGACCCATGCATCAGCATAAAACTTGTGTGGTTCTTTTCCATTCAATACGTATTTATGGAACAGCTTCTATCACATTGTCTGACACATAGTAGAACCTCAATAAATAGTTGTGAATAAATGAATGTAGCTGGTGCCAGGCACAGTGCCAGAGGTGTTGGAGGAATATAAAGATGAATAGGACATGATCTATGATCTAAGAGAATTTAGGGTATGGTCATGTTATAAAGCAAGAACACAAGTGACTTCTCAAAATACGGTACATATCTTTTAAAATATCAATAAAATGCTATGAAATTTCAAAGAAGGGAAATGTTACATCCGCTTTGGAAAAGTCAGGGAAGTTTTATGGAGTAGGGAGCATTTGAGTCAAGTCTCAAAGTAGGAGGATGTTGTTGTTAGCTGCCATCAGGTTGGCCCCTGACTCATGGTGACCCCCTGCACAGTGGAACAAAATGCTGCCTGGTCCTGTGCCATCCTTATGATTGGTTGTGGATTAGACCGTTGTGATCCATAGGGTTTTCATTGGCTGATTTTTGGAAGTAGATCGCAGGCCTTTCTTCCTACTCTGACTTAGTCTGGAAGCTCCACCTAAACTTGTTCAGCAGCGTCATAGCAACATGCAAGCCTCTGGGTGGCGGCAGTGTATGAGGTGCATTGGCTGGGAATTGAACCTGGATCTCCCGCATGGAAGGCGAGAATTCTACCACTGAACCACAGTTTGGAAGGGACATAAGAGTTAGAGGAAAAGGCAAGAAAACAAGCCTGAGAAAGAGAATATGTGGCTCATTTGGGGACGAGCTGGTGGTCCAGTTTTACTAAACCTTAAGTTATCTGTGAGGAATCATGGAAGATAAAGTCTGAATACTTGAGTTGACACCATATTTGGAGACTTTGTATGCCAGGAATTAGAGCTTTATAATATTGGTAAAAGGATGATTCTAATGAGTAAGATAATAATAATTGCCAACATTTTTTGAGCGTTACTATGTAGCAGGCACTGTGCTAAGCACCTTAACATATTATCTCCATTTTATGGATTAAAAAAATGAGGTTTAGAAAGGTTAAGTTACTTGCCCAAAGTTATGTGGATTATAAGTGATAGCTGGGATTTTAACCCAAGCAGTCTGACTCCTTAGACTGTGCTCTTGAGTTGAAAAAAGAAGATGGGGAGGGTAGGGGAAGACAATTAGGAGGCAGTTATAGTAGCTGATCAAAGAAGTTAGGATGGAATTTTGGGAATGGTTGGCGGAACCAGAATCAGCATGACTTGGAATAACTGACTTAATGCAGGGAATGAGGGACAAAGTAGACTCCAGATAACCCCTAGATTTGGAGTCTGGTTGACTGGGAGAATGGTAGTGCCATTTATAGAAACAAGGAAATGAAGAAGAGAATTTGTTTTGGAGAAGAAAAAAAAAAAGATGGGTTTGTTTAGGGCTGATTGAGTTTCAGATAGCTAACGAATATCCGAATATCCGGAGGGAGATGTCCAGGGGCAATTGAAAATGCTGCTTTGGAGCTCCGGAGAGAGTGCAGTGTTTAAATGAGTAAGCAGTACCATTCCCTTATGAATCATTTAGAATGAAATCTAGTTCTTTGGGGTACTGATACAAATTAGAACTTCTTCTTATACCTTGTTTGGCAGATTTATTGCTTTTCAGACTAGTAATTACTGGTAATACTGTGGGTTCATTATTATTAAATAACTTCCTTATAAACATGGTTGTGTTTATCAGAAGGATGAGCAGCCATTTTGATCATGTGACATCCTTTCATGTCACTTGTACTGTGCCTCCGTATTTTTGTAGGTGCTTGGAACAAGAGAGCCCATTACAAGTAGATCAATTACCTTGAAACCTCCCTCCCCCACTATAGTATTCACAATAAATAAAAGCTTTAAGGGGGAGAAAAAAAAAGAGCCATTTATTAATGCAAAATTTCTCTGAATTCCCATTCTTTCTTTTTTTGAATAAGTTGAAGGACTAATTGATAGGCACCTCTCACTTACTTGGTGGGACACTTGAATTCACCCATATTTTACCTTCTTTTTTTGGATGGCCTTTTCCAGTTATAAGGAGGTTGTACTTCCGGAGAAGGAATGCAAGAGTCTACTATGACCTGTTGCCACTTCCATGTCTCAATCCAGAAAGATCTCTTGATCTCATCCATTAGCTTCCCCTCTTTTTGGAGCAGGTGCAACTCTTGCCAATGTTTTTAATTTTTATGTTATTATTCTTATTTTGTGTGTGTGTGAGGATGATCATTGGAGAGTAACGGGACAACTTTAATAGCTTATAAAATGAGATTCCTGGAAGAGGGCAATAAGAAAATGTTGCACAGTTTTTAATCTTGTCATTTTCTTTTTTCTTTTCCCCTCTGCATCCAGTTTGGATCGCCATATGCAAACCCACCACGGACACCATAAACCATTCCGATGCAAACTCTGCTCCTTCAAGTCCTCCTATAACAGCCGGCTGAAAACGCATATACTCAAAGCTCATGCTGGTGAGTTGGTACCGGTAATACACGAGTTCACAGCACTTTGTGAGTTTGAAATCTAATGGTCTTCACTGAGTGAAAATTTTTATATTATCTCGTGCCCCACAAATGAGTATAAGAAGTTATTTTGGGGATGGCTACGTGTTTAGTGCTTTTTAACCTAATAAAGAAAATCAGAAGAAGCCAAAACAATACAAAGCACGTGTCATAATTGATTTGTGCTATTAAACAGGTTAGAGTTAGGCTGTTTTATTTTTTAAAGAAATTTCTAAATTACATACCCTTTCTAATGGAAATGCAGAGAATTGCTACATCCACTAGAAAGATTCCCAATTAAACTAAAGTTATAATCTCAACGAAGTGCACAGGGACAAAGAGAACTCAAGACATGCAAGATTTCTCACATGATGCCCTTAGACAGATACATTTCCATATACCAAATAGGAAGTGAGCTTGGGTCGTGAGTGACCAGGAGCTATGCTGATTTCTGTCTTTCCATCGCGTGTGTAGCACTCACCTTATAAACAGTCCTTACATACAAGGTTCTGCACTAAAACCAAAACCAAACCCATTGCTGTTGAGTCAGTCTCAACTCATGGCAACCCTATGTGTTACAGAGTAGAACTGCTCCCTAGGGTTTTCTTGGCTGTAATCTTTATGAAAGCAGGTTGCCAGGCCTTTCTTCTATGATGCCACTGGGTGGGTTCAAACCACCAACCTTTAGTTTAGTAGTCGAGCACAAACTGTTTACACCACCCAGGGACCTTGTTGTTGTTGTTGGTAGGTGCCATCAAGTCGGTTCTGACTCATAGTGACCTCTATGTACAACAGAACAAAACAGTTCCCAGTACTGCACCATCCTCACAATTGTTGTTATGCTTGAGCCCATTGTTGCAGCCCCTGTGTCAGTCCATCTCATTGAGGGTCTTCCTCTTCTTTGCTGACCCTCTACTTTACCAAGTATGATGTCCTTCTGCAGGGGCTGGTCCCTCCTGATAACGTGTCCAGATAAGCGGGATGTCTTACCACCCTTGCTTCCGAGGAGAACTCTGGCTGTATTTCTTCTAAGACAGACTTGTTAGTTTTTCTGGCAATCCATAGTATATTCAATATTCTTCACCAACACCATAATTCAAAGGCATCAATTCTTCTTTTGTCTTCTTAATTCATTGTCCAGCTTTCACATGCATATGAAGTGATTGAAAATATCATGGCTTGGGTCAGGCACACTTTAGTCCTCAAAGTGACGTCTTTGCTTTTCAACACTTCAAAGAGGTCTTTTGCAGCATATTTGCCCAATGCAATACGTCATTTAATTTCTTGACTGCTGCTTCCATGGGCATTGTTTGTGGATCCAAGTAAAATGAAATGCTTAACAATTTCAGTGTTTTCCCCATTTATCATGATGTTGCTTATTGGTCGGCTTTTGAAGATTTTTGTTTTCTTTCTGTTGAAGTGTAATCCATACTGAAGGCTGTAGTTTTTTATCTTAAGCATCTTACTTAAAGCAACCATGACAATCCTAGAAGGTAAGGTACTATTGTCATCCTCACTTTCAGATAAGAATACAGAAACTCAGAATTCAATGACCTGCTCAAGGACACATGGCTCACTGATTAAGAATTTGACTTCAGAACAAAAACCTACATCCTTTTCTCTGACAGGATACTGCCTCCCTCTCTTTTTTCCTCTTCTCTAGTTTGCATGTGGTAGAAGATGCATAATAACCTGTTCTTTTGCCCATGAGCAGCTAATCACAGCTCAGCCAGGAGAAGAAAGGCATGATGTAGGAGAGGCAGCTGAGAGTGGTTTGGGGGCCTCTCCATGATGTTCTTAGTCACTCTGAGAAACCTGTCTCAACAGCAACCTTGGCCCTATTAGAGGTCCTGACTAAGAGGAGCTTAGGTCAAGCACAAAGGAAAATTGGGGGAAATGAAGGCCTCAGAACAGCTAGCCATACTATCAGAGACCCTTCCAGAAATCAAACCTCCTCCCTAAGTTTCTCAGTAAAGGTATTTCCTACCAGTATTCTTCTGTCTCATTTATCAGCTTCCCTTGTGCCTTGTACTCTTATTTTAACAGCATTATAAAAATGGCCCAGGACCTGGGTCCTTCCCTTTTGCCATCTCTGTGGAAACATGGTCGCGCCTCTTGGCTATCTCCTAAGTGGTGGGTCCTGTTGAACTGGGCATATCCTTTCAGTGACATTACCAAAGCCTGCCCAGCTGCTCCCAAACTCCACTTGGGGTGGGGATGGGACAGGGAGATCAGTTATGTGGGCTTTTCTCTATCTATGCGTATTTTTATATCTCCAGGAAAATTCTGCTGAAGGCTATGAAGTGTGTGGCTTCAGGGTTCAAACTACTCTTTTCTGACTTGTGTGTATTGTAAATTATTCAGCTGGGATGCCATCCTAGTGAGTTTTTCCCATAGGCTTCAGTCTTGTCAAAAGTACTTTTAACAGTGGAGTTGGTGAAATGATTTGGCCTGTGGGAAGGACTTTAAAATTTAGAGCGCCAGAGGCTTCACATGGACTCCAGGGCACTGAGCTAAAGTTTATGTTCTTAGAGTGACTGAGCATACTGACCTCCTGTGCTTTCTGGTTGGTGAGAAGGAAGCATCCAGTGAAAGAGAGTGAAAGCAATATAATTCAGTACTCAATATAACCTGGAATCTTGGTCTCCATGGACAGGGCTCTTAGCCACTGAGAGTGGCTTGGCTTGGAGAAAGCCAGTGTATTTTTCGAAAAGACTCTTGTCTGATCTTGCTTATCCTAGATGGATTATTTTATTTTAAAAGTTAATAAGTAGTGCAGACTAACCAAACAATCTGCATCTGAATTCTCAGGTTATGCTACTCACAGCCACCCAAAAAGGTTCATACAGCCAGGCTTACATTTAAAAAATGAAAAACAGAGTAAGGATAGCAGTTGTTGCTAGTTGCCATGGAGTTGGCTCTGGCTTATGGAGACCTTCTGTGTAACAGAACGAGACGATACCCGGTCCTGCACTCTTTATGGTATTTGATATGTTCAAACCCATTGTTGCGGCTATTCTGTCAGTTCATCTTATTGAGACTTTCACTCATTTTCACTGATCCTCTGCTTTACGAGACATGATGTCTTTTTCTAGTGATTGGTCTTTCCCGATGACGTGTCCAAAGTAAGCAAGCTGAAGTCTCACCACCCTTGCTTCTAAGGAGCATTCTTGTATTTCTGCTAAGACTGATTTGTTTGTTCTTCTGGTGGTCCGTGGCATATTCAGTATTCTTCACCAACGCCACAATTCAGATGCATCCTGTAGTATTAGTGAATACCACTGCTCACTGGCCAGCATTATAGTGTAACTATTATGTGATGGTTGGGGAAGGAACTGACTGGTTCTGGGTGCGTGGGTCCTCTGACTTCTTTGGAGGAGCCCTTCAATTCTGTCTTGTGCTATAGAAGGTTGCATAATTCAAGGTTTTCTGTAGTTCTCTTCAAGGCTTTCTTGGGCATGCCAAGTTCTGTGGGTCATCAGTGGTGAGAAGGAGGCTTAATGCATATCTTGGGAGGCTGGGCTCACTTCATATGTGAACCATTTAGTGATTTTCAGGGTGAGAGGAAAGTAACAATCTCAGCTGGTTAACAGCAAGGGTAGAGATTCAACTTCTGATTCCTGTTGTTTTTTGTTTCAATCCGTAGACCACCAGCTCTGTCCTCAGTCAATTTCTTCTGGTACACAAAACTTTTGTTACTGAATGTAAAAATGGCATGGGGGCGGCGTTTGACCTCCTCTAACTGCACAAGGAGGAAGGAGAATCAAGATCAACAGCCCAAGGTTGATTCCTGTGAGGCGGAGGTCAGACATGCTTCCTCTCTCCGCCATCTTTACCAATTCTAACACCAACTGTCCCTCCCACGGCACTGTCTACTTCTCTGCTGAGTTCGATAATTCATTGCAATGGTCACATGGAACTCACAGACAATACTCATGATTATGGGGTTTTTTAGGGAAGTAACAGGTTACAATTCAGGTTCAGGAATGCTCAAAATACAGTTCTTCCATCAGGACAGCCTCTTCTCAGCTGTGGCCTCAGGCCTGCCTCTCTCTGGGCCTCGGCCTCTGCCCTGCTCTGGCAAGTGTTACAAAGCTCTTTTAGCTCTGCCAGTAAGTGCCTCAAGGCACCCCAGTCTACCAGTAAGCTTTGGCCAGAGGTGCTCAGCTCTAGTTCTGTGAGTTGGCAAACCTAGCTCTACCAGGTTCCCAGAGGCAACCTACTCTGCCAGCAAGCCTCCTGCCTTAAGGCACTGTCTCCTTCTGGCTTCCTGTCAGTCTCCTGCGTCTGCTGCTGCCATTTCTCTGTCACTATTTCTTGCTGTCTTCAGTGTTACAGCTCTTCCTCTCGGTCTCCTGGTTCCAGGAGCTTCTCAGCACAGTGATCCGGGTCCAAAGGACATGCTCCACTCCTGGCTCTTCTTCCTTGGTGGTGGTGAGATCTTCTTCTCCCACCTCTGGGATGGCTCATTTTAAGCCTAGTGGGATTGCAAAACTGACCATTCCCTTCTTTAGGGTTCCATATACCTTATTTGCATAGTCCCACTCAATCGTCCATATACCTTATTTGCATAGTCCCACTCAATCTTTGTATGAGTCACAGAGATTATGGTTAGAAGGGCCATACTGAGCAATTCATTGCACTGCACTGAAGATCCTCTCTTCTCTTCTCTTGTTTTTCTTTTCTTCCTGCTCTGAGTTTTAAATTTGACCTTAAAAATAAATTTTAGAAAGTAACCATTAGTGAATATTTGGAAAGGAAAGAAGAAATATAGTCAGTCATCCATAATCTTATCTAAAGAACACTCTTGTTAACATTTGGTATATTTCCTTTCAATCATCTTCTCTATAATTATTTTTAATAGTTGTGATTATAATTTAATCTAAAAATGTCTTTTCTATTTATTTATAGTTTTCCATGTTAGTACAAACTCTTCAAGAATTTATTTTGATGGAATGGTAGTTCTTCAAAAGGATATGTCCATATTTACTCAATCATTTCCCTATGGTTGGAAATTTAGGTTGTGTTATACCTTTTTCAAGCATAAATAATGCATATTTCTATATAAAGCTTTCCATGTTTTAAAAACTATTTCCTAAATATGTGCTCTCAGAAGTGGAATTATTGAGTCCAACACATGAGCATAAGTTATCGTTACAAAAGCAGAATTGTTTCATGCATGATCATAGCAGTGTACATCTGTCCAACAACATACACATACCTATTTCACAAAATGTAATTAATTTGAAAGCTGACTTATGGCAAAGGTAAATCACACTCTAACTTAATTTGGTCATTGTGATCTGTCCTGTATTTCAGTGCTATAAACAAAAATTGAAGAAAATACTTATTTTTTCTTAGATGTACTGTTTATTAAAACAGTAGTGTGAATACACACACACGTTTATACGTATACAACTCTCTTTCTCAAGCAGAGAAATGGTTTATTTTAACAGTCTACAATATTGATTAGATATGGAAGTGATACTTTATGCTGAGGTTTGTGAACTGGTCCAAAATAAAAATTATAGGTTGTGTGAGATAGAGGAGATGTACAGTCTTCAAGGAAGAAAAGATGGAGAATAGCACAATAGAGTTTGTACTCAGTGACTGTGTGCTTGAAAAACCACACTGCTGGACCCTTGGAATGAGAATCGAGCATACTATTTTTTGCAGATGATAAAAAGGCAACCTTATATGAAAATTATGCATTCGGCTGCTAGCCAAAAGGTTGGCAGTTCAAATCTCCAGGCTGCTCCTTGGAAACCCTATGGGCAGTTCTGCTCTGTCCTAGAGCGTCGCTAGGCGTCAGAATCGACTCGATGACAACAGTTTTGTTTATATAAAAATTGGCATGGTCATTTCTAAGTATGGAGAGAGAGAAAGAGTAACTGAGAAAACTTACCTGAAGAAAGTGTCACAGACATTTGAGTTTCACTCCCTGTTGGGGAATTAAGCCATAGCCTCATCCTTATAAGTAGAGCACGAAATGAAAAGGGACCAGATCACTTGATTATGGAGCTGGTTGAAAAGTTTTAATCTCAAAGGAGCACTGTGGTTGTGGTAACAGGTGGGTAGTTGGTCTGTGAGGGTTCATAGACCTAGAAGCTTGGGAAGAACTTGTAGAGTGAATTAACCATGTTATTTTGTTTTCCACCCCCACCCCCACTCCCACCCCCACCCTACCTTTTCCCCTTTTACCCCCTTTTTACTGCTCTGTCCCTTACCATCACCTTCTTCCAGGTGAACATGCCTACAAGTGTTCTTGGTGCTCATTTTCCACCATGACAATCAGCCAGTTGAAAGAACACTCCCTCAAGGTCCACGGAAAAGCCCTGACCCTCCCCAGGCCACGAATTGTCAGTCTCCTCTCCTCACATGCCCACCACTCCTCTCAAAAAGCTACCCCGGCTGAAGAAGTGGAAGACTCCAATGGTAAAAATGGGCTTCTGAGCCAGAATTAATCACCTAGGGCTGTGGTGGGCTGGGGTCTATTGTTCTATGGCAAAAATGGCTGTCTATACTCGTGTGGGACTCCCTGGCTAATGCAAATGGCTAACGTGCTCAGCTGCTAACCAAAAGATTGGAGGTTCAAGTCCTTCCAGAGGCACCTTGGAAAAAAGACCTTGTCATCTACTTGCAAAAAATCAGCTGTTGAAAACTCTGTGGAGCACAGTTCTACTCTGACACACACGGGGTCGCCGTTAGTATAGATCGAATTGATGATAAGTGTTTTTTTTAATACCTGTGTGACATGCAAGTATAGACTGACATTTGCTTGTGGGAAGAGCATATGATGTGGGATGGATTGGTGATGGACACTTCCACTGTGGTTTCAAGAAAGAAAGCAAAAGGAATACCGTGCAGATTTTTTTCTTTATTTGTATTCTGTCTTGCTCTAAAAAGTGTGTACTGTGAAGTGCTTAGGGTGCCAGCTATGTAAGTTAAATGCACAAAATTCAGAGTAGGAATGGAAAGGGTGAGTGAGTGAGGAAAAGTACAGGCATACCTCAGAGAGATTGCGGGTTTGTTTCCAGACCACCACAATAAAGTGAATATCGCAATACAGCAAGTCACACAAAGTTTTTGGTTTCCCAGTACATATAAAAGTTATGTATATACTATACTATAGTCTATTAAGTGCAATAGCATTATGTCTAAAAAAACAATGTACATATTTAATTAAAAAATACTTTATTGCTAAAAAATGCTAGCCATCATCTGAGCCTTCCTTCAGCGAGTTGTAATCTTTTTGGTGGTGGAGAGTCTTGCCTCAGTGTTGATGGTTGCTGACTGATCAGGGTGGTGGTTGCTGAAGGTTGGGGTGGCTGTGGCAATTTCTTAAAATAAGACAACAATGAAGTTTGCATATTATTTGATTATTCCTTTCACAAAAGATTTCTCTGTAACATGCAATGCTGTTTGATAGTATTTTACCCACAGGAAAACTTCCTTCAAAATTGGAGTCAGTCCTCTCAAGCCCTGCTGCTGGTTTATCAACTAAGTTTATGTAGTATTCTAAATCCTTTGTTGTCTTTTCAACAATGTTTACTGCATCTTCACCAGGAGTAGATTCCATCTCAAGGAACCACTTTCTTTGCTCGTTCATAAGAAGCAAGCCCTCATCCATTAAAGTTTTATCATGAGATTTCAGCAATGCAGTCACATCTTCAGGCTCCACTTCTAATTCTAGTTCTCTTGCTCTTTCCACCACATCCGCAGTTACTTCTTCCACTGAAGCCTTGAACCCCTCAAAGTCATCCATGAGGTTTGGAATCAACTTCTTCCAAACTCCTGTTAATGCTGATATTTTGACCTGAATCACAAATGCTCTTAATGGCATCTAGAATGGTGAATCTTTTGCAGAAGGTTTTCAATTTACTTTGCTCAAATCCACTAGAGGAATCATTACCTATGGCACTAGCCTTACAAAAAGTATTTCTTAAATAATGAGACTTGAAAGTCAAAATTACTTCTTGATCCATGAGCTAAAGAATGGATATTGTGTTTGCAGGCTTGAAAACAACATTGATCTCCTTGTACATCTCCATCAGAGCTCTTGGGTCACCAGGTGTATTGTCAATGAGCAGTAATATTTTGAAAGGCATCTTTTTGTCTGAGCAGTAGGTCTCAACAGTGGGCTTAAAATGTTCAGTAAACCGTGTTGTAAACAGATGTGCTGTCATTCAGACTTTGTTGTTCCATTTATAGAGCACAGGCAGAGTAGGTTTAGCATAATTCTTAAGGGCTCTAGGATTTTTGGAATGGTAAATGAGCTTTCACTTCAACTTAAAGTCACCAGCTACATTAGCCTCTAACAAGAGAGTCAGCTTGTGCTTTGAAGCCAGGCATTGACTTCTCTCTAGCTATGAAAGTCCTACATGGCATCTTCTTCCAATATAAGGCTGTTTTGTCTACATTGAAAATATTTTGTTTCATGTAGCCACCTTCATCAACTATCTTAGCTAGATCCTCTGGATAACTTGCTGCAGCTTCTACATCAGAACTTGCTGCTTCACCTTGCACTTTCATGTTATGGAGACAGCTTCTTTCCTTAAACCTCATGAACCACCCTCTACTAGCTTTAAACTTCTGCAGCTTCCTCACCTCTCTCAGCCTTCTTAGAATGGAGGAGAGTTAGGGCCTTGCTCTGGATTAGGCTTTGGTTTAAGAGAGTGTTGTGGCTGGTTTGATCTTCCATCCAGACCACTAAAACTTTCTCTATATCAGCAATAAGGCTGTTTTTGCTTTCTTATCATTCATGTGTTCACTGGAGTAGCACTTTTAATTTCCATCAGGAACTTTTCCTTTGCATTCACAATTTGGCTAACAGTTTGGTGCAAGAGGCCTAGCTTTCAGCCTGTCTTGGCTTTTGACATACCTTTCTCACTAAACTTAATCATTTCTAGCTATTGATTTAAAGGAGAGACATGTGACGCTTCCTTTCACTTAAATACTTAGAGGCCACTGTAGGGTTATTAATTGGCCTAATTTCAATATTGTTGTGTCTGGGGGAATAGGGAATTCCTAGGACAGGAGGAGAGTTGGGGGCACAAGTGGTCAGTGGAGCAGTCGGAACACAAATGTTTATCGATTAAGTTCACTGTCTTTTATGGACATGGTTTGTGGCACCCCAAAACAATTAGAATACATCAAAGATCACAGATCATGGATCACCATAACAGATATAACAATACTGAAAAAAAGTTTGAAATATTGAGTGAATTACCAAAATGTGATACAGAGACACGAAGTGATCACGTGCTGTTGGAAAAATGGTGCCAATGGACTTGCTCAACGCAGGGTTGCCGCAAACCTTCAATTTGTAAACAACACAGTATCTGTGAAGCGCAATAAAACGAGGTATGCCTGTATGTCTGATTGAGTCCTGTGCTACTTTGGGTAACATAGTGCCTTCTTACAGTTGAGGAATGTTGAGGAATCATCAGTGGGGAGTAAGGTTGAACAGCCCAGTCCTAGAGCTGCATGATCCCGTACTTAGGAGGAGGTCTGCAGAATCTTAGAGAAGTAGAAAACCCTAGAGCTGCTCTATACTAACCCCTTCTAATGTTTGAATCTCCAGCATCACTAGTAAGCGTTTATCTGGTACTAGCTTGAATATTTCCCAGGCCTGGGAATGGACTGTTTCTCAATGTCTATCTGTTACATTTTTGGGAGGAATTGAGTGAACTGGAAAGAGAGTTCATGGATCCTTTGGAACAAAGGCCTGGATTTGAATAGTTGTATTTCCCTAGGCAACTTTAACTTCCTATATCCATATGTAAAATTGGATAACCATCTGTCTCTCAACAGATTATTGGGAGAGATGAATGAGAAAGGGTATATACATAAAATGCCTAATACAACATCAGATATATAATAGGTATGTTAATAAATGGTAGTTTCATCCCTGTGATTACAGTTCTGACCTTTGAGACCACATATGACAAATATAAATTTTGAGTTATTTAAAGGTTTAAAATAGAGACTCTGTAGGTATCCTGAAGATCTGAAGATCCCAGTTCGTCGGCTTTATCGAAAGAGTAAACAAGTCATCTTTATTCATGTGGTCCTTAGGCAGATAACTAGAAGGAAATGGAAAGGTAAGTCCTGAAGCTTAACTCTTCCTTTATTGAGACTAAGGCCACACAAAGGTGGCCTTTCCTTTGCAAATCATTGTTAAAGGACTGTAGCTTCTCCTTGGTTTTCCAGTCTTGAAGGACTTCTGTTTAACAAAGAAGGCTCTAGTTATCATGGCTGTGACTTGTCATGATGGAGCACACTATCTTCTCAATTGTTGTGTAGTAACTTAAAATGTAGGAGAAAGCCTTTTTTTTCCCTCCAGGAAAACTTAAGAGTCTCAAGCCCAAGGGTGAGGACGAGTGTAAGGATGTTGCCTTCTCACCTTGAAATTCTGTTCACTGGAAAAGATTTGTATATTACAGCCAGAGGGCAAAATATAATTTGCCTTCAGTTGTAAGATCTTTATTAACAAGATTATTAATTAATTGCTTTCACCTGAAATGGAAGCAAAACATTGGAGCCATTTGGGTGAAATGGATCCGTCCAAACACCGTTTCCAGCAAAGACTTTTCCTGGGATAGTCCTCTCCATGTCATACCTTCTTTTTCCTGTGTCCTTCTGCCTTGAAAGGTGCATCTCAGTCATAGCTCATGAGAATCCCACAAACCATTCACTGCTTAGATCCCCTTCCTCTGAATGGGCTAAGAAGAGTTCAGTCAACTTCCTTATCCTTACTCTCTGCCAAGACCTGCGCTATGCACAGAAGAATCAGAAATGAATAGAGTACCATCATGCCCTTAAAGAGCTCAAAATCAAATGTTTAAAAAATCAGTACCCACTTCTGAACTAACCACAACCCCAAGCCTGGGCCCTAACCTTTTGGGGGTGATTTCATGTTCTTAGAAACTGGACTGGGTTAGGATCTTGCAGGGGTGGGGGGTTGGGGTCACAGAAACATGAAGATACCGTATTCATGTTTCTGCAGAACACAAATAGACGTATCTTTGTTCGGCCATAGGAAGATAATTTGAAATATATAAAAGTGTTTTTGGTGGGTTTTTTCCTTCTAAGGAAAGCACATAATGCAGGTGAAAGATCCTTTGGTGGGAATCATTTAATGAGGCCTACACAAAGATCATTGGGCCTGTGCTGTTTTTAATGTATATAAATAACCTATACTGAGAGACCCTCCAGGTCCCAGGGTGACACAAATGGTTTGCATTCAACTGCTAACCTAAAGGTTGGTGGTTTAGACCCAACGAACGGCTCCACAGAGGAAAGCCCTGGGGACCTGCTTACAGCCAAGAGAACCCTATGGGACAGTTCTACTCTGTAACACGTGGAATCACCATGAGTGGGAATTGACTCAACGACAGTGGGTTAAGAGGCTATCAGTGATTAGCTTAATCTGG